TTCTCACTCCCTCTGTTCTTCCTCCCTCTGTTCTTACTCCTTCTGTTCTTCCTCCCTCTGTTCTTCCTCCCTCTGTTCTTACTCCCTCTTTTCTTACTCCCTCTGTTCTTCCTCCCTCTGTTCTTCCTCCCTCTGTTCTTCCTCCCTGTGTTCTTCCTCCCTCTGTTCTTACTCCCTCTGTTCTAACTCCCTCAGTTATTACTCCCCCTGTTCTCACTCCCTCTGTTCTTCCTCCCTCTGTTCTTCCTCCCTCTGTTCTTCCTCCCTCTGTTCTTACTCCCTCTGGTCTTACTCCCTCTGTTCTTACTCCCTCTGTTCTTCCTCCCTCTGTTCTTCCTCGCTCTGTTCTTCCTCCCTGTGTTCTTACTCCCCCTGTTCTTACTCCCTCTGTTCTCACCCCCTCTGTTCTTACTGCCTCTGTTCTTACTCCCTCTGTTCTTCCTCCCTCTGTTCTTCCTCCATCTGTTCTTCCTCCCTCTATTCTTCCTCCCTCTGTTCTTCCTCCCTCTGTTCTTCCTCCCTCTGTTCTCCCTCCATCTGTTCTTACTCCCCCTGTTCTTACTCCCTCTGTTCTTACTCCCTCTGGTCTTTCTGCCTCTGTTCTTACTCCCTCTGTTCTTCCTCCCTCTGTTCTGCCTCCCTCTGTTCTTACTCCCTCTGTACTTACTCCCTCTGTTCTTCCTCCCTCTGTTCTTCCTCGCTCAGTGTGTTTCTCCTCCCTCTGTTCTTCCTGCCTCTGTTCTTCCTCCCTCTGTTTTTCCTCCTTCTGTTCTTTCTCCCTCTGTTCTTACTGGCGCCGTGCGAGCTGGCGCCTTGCGTGCCAGCCCGTTTTGCGCTGGCGCCGTGCGCGCTCGCGCATTTAGCACAAGCGCCGTGCTCGCTTTGGCGCCTTTCGCGCTGCCGCCTTTGTCGTCCCCTCCGTTCCCCCCCCTTTGTGGTCCCCCATCCGTCCCTCCCCCTTTGTGCCCCCCCCCCCCCCCCCCCCCCCGTTCCCCCCCCTTTGTTGTCCCCCATCCCTTCCTCCCCCTTTGCCATCCCCCCTCCGTCCCTCCCCCTTTGTCGTCCTCCCTCCGTTCCCCCCCCCCTTTGTTGTCCCCCCTCGTTCCTCCCCCTTTGCCGTCCCCTCCCTCCGTCCCTCCCCCTTTGTCGTCCCCCCTCCGTTCCTCCCCCTTACTCCTCCCCCCTCCATTCCTCCCCCTTTGCCGTCCCCCGTCCGTTCCTCCCCCCTCCTTCCCCCCGCCTTTTGCCGCCCCCTTCCCTTCCTCCCCCTTCGCCGTCTTCCCTCTGTTCTTCCCCCTTTGTCGTCCCCCATCCGTCCCTCCCCCTTTGCCGTCCCCCCTGCGTTCCCCCCCCTTTGTCGTCCCCTCTCCGTTCCTCCCCTGTCGTCCCCCTTCCTTCCCTCCCCCTTTGTCGTCCCCCCTATGTTCCTCCCCCTTTGCCATCCCCCCTCCGTCCCCCCCCCCTTTTTCGTCCCACCTCCGTTCCCCCCCCTTTGCTGTCCCCCCTCCCTTTCTCCCCGTTCGCCATCTCCCCTCCGTTCCTCCCATTTTGTCGTCCCCCCTCCGTCCCTCCCCCTTTGTCGTCCCCCCTCTGTTCCTCCCCTTTGTCGTCCCCCCTCCATTCCTCAAACTTTGCCGTCCCCCCTCCCTTCTTCCTCCATTTGTCTTTCCACCTCCGTTCTTCCTCTCATTGTCTCCCTCATTCCTGTTTTCCCCCCTCAGTTTATCCCCCCTCTGTCTTCCCCCCTCCATTCCCCCCTCCGTCCTTCCATCCTCCATTCTCCCGCCCTCTGCTCTCCCCCCCTCTGCCGTTCCCTTTCCATTCTTCCTCACCAACGCTCTCCCACCCCCCCGGCTTTCCTTTACCCCTTGCGTTCTTCTTACCTCATCCCCCCTCTGCTTTATTGCCTTTGCAATCTGTATTCTTACAAGCCCAATTGCAGCCCATTCTCAGGTATACATTACTCTCCCTCTCGCTGTTTTTTTGTTCTTCCTCCATCCATTCTTCCCCTGTCTGTTTGCCTTTGTTCTTCCCCTCCATTCTTTCCCGCTCTTGTCTTCTCGCCTCCATTCCCCCCTCAGCTCTTTTTAACCATTCTTCCTCACGTTCTTCCACCCTATGGTCTCCCCTCTCCATTCTTACTCCGCCTATTCATTCCTCCCTCTGTGTGACCCTCTCCCTCCCTGTGATGCTCTCCCTTGCTCCTTCTTCTCCTTTCTGTATTTGATTTTCCCATACACTTGTTTCTACCCTGCGTTTGCTTCTCATTTCAGTGGTTGCTTCTCTCTTGCACTTGCTGCTCCCTTCTCCTTGTCCGTCTTTCTTGCGTTCGTCTCCGCTGTACTGTTTTTTCCCTCGCATCCCCACCTAATCGCTGTAGTTTCTCTCTGGCTGCTACTGTCTCAAGCTCTTCCCTCTTATTTTCTCCTCTTGTTATCCTCTCCAGTCATGTTATCACGTTCAAGTTTGTCACACTCCAAGAACATTCCAAGTCGTCGAAATTCAAGTCATCACGTTCCAAGACTTCTCATTCCAGTTCCAGTCAAAGCATTATTCATGGATATTTAAAGTTGACTTGGTAATGTTTTCGTGCTCCCCATTATATCTTCGTGTTTGACTTGCGTGCATTTGCATTGTTGTTTTGTAATTTTTTATGCCGCGTTGCTTGTGTATGTGCATTTGCATGGTACCATTGTTGACAACGTGCGTACCAGTTTGTTGGCTTGTGTTTTGCACTGTGTTGTGTTGCGTTGTGCTTGCAGGGGAAGGATGCTGACTATGCCTAGTGCATCACACAATTTGCGATTGTCGTTGCCGGTTTGGGGAATTGCTTCTCATTCCGTGCATGTCAATCTCTATTGTAGTACGAAAGCATTGATGCATTTCTTCATTTGCAGTCACTATTGCACTGTTTTTGTTTGTTAGCAAGTGTTGTACATCGTTGTGTATTGTGTGTGCGTGCAGGGAAACGATGCTGATTATGCCGAGTACATCATACGATGTGCGATTGTCGTTGCCCATAACGGGCATGTCAATCTATAATGTGGCACAAACGCATTGATGCTTTCGTTTACTGCATTCGTGATCTTTTTGTTGTGTTGTATTGTTGTCGTGTCGAGCCAAGCCGTTACATGTGTGTGTGGATAAGATGCGTCCTGTGTACATGCTTTGAAAATGGTGGTGGTGATTTTGTCATTCTCTACGCCGCCGTAATTATCGACGGCGAATGATTCGAGCCTCTCTCATCATTCATAAAAAGCTTAGAAAATCGTTACAAAACTCTATGTTGCTCAATTATTATGTCGTCTCCATTATCGACCACATAATAATTGCGAAAAAACATAGATTTTTTTATGCAAGCTAGAAAGGTCTTTTGAGACGCTAAGTTTCTGAGTTACAGTAAAAGGAATCAACAAACAAACGGATACGTAGAGATTCTCTATCGGAGAACGTAAACATTAATATTATAGACAACCAAATTTAGATGAAAAAAACCAGTGTTTTTAGAGTGAGCGACGTATTAAACCTGGAAAAATATGTAGTGTGGGTGATTAGGCCGACTAAACCAAGTCGTCCGAAATCGGTCCACCAACCGATTATAAAGGGTTGCTACACAACCCAAAAACCCCATAGGGAAACCGCATGCCGTTCGGGGTGGCATCAACCCTAAAGTCACAACGGGGTGAGAGTTTAGGGTTGATGCCACCCGAAAGGTATGTGGGTCCCCATGGGTTTTTTTTCCTTCCCGTTAAAGCGGAACACCTATCCGGAAGTGGAAATACTACCTCGCGGATTTTTCCTCCAGAAGGAATTGGGGTCGTGCTCGAGCAGGGGGGCGCGGATATGTCACGCCGGAAGAAATTCAAAAGAACGAAAACTTTTCGTCATTCCCTCGGAAGATTGAGCTGGATAGACATCGCGGATTCATCCCGGATTCGCGGTGCGATGGCATGGCTGTCACGCACGCCCTTCCTCCATTGGCCCACGCGTGCAGTGGGAAAGGCTTGCCGTGGCGGCGCTTCCTTGTCGCTTCCTCTCAAACTGGCTGGAAAAGTCCCATCAAGCACATGTACAGCTTGCGAAAACACTGGTCTCAGATTTTGAGCGGAAACAAAATTGTATTTCTAGCCAATGCAGTGAACGGGGGTTGGCTTGGGTTTGCGTCCCTCCTCACAGCAAAATGGGAGCAACTGATTCTTTTACACAGCATAGCAACGAGAGTGGGTACACCCAGATATTCGATCATGTCACAGGTTTTGAAACGACAGGTGTGATTGTTTTTTGTGCCGAGTGACTGTATCGCTTTATTATCACATTGGCCCAGTTTCGCTCATTCGTCGTTTCCCTGGAACTCGCAGGAGAAACATATTAATCACCCCACCAACTAAATATCGCGCCACTCCGTCTTCATAGCCGACATCATCACGCAATTTCGCCTGTACGCCCAATTTTCAGTCGCGTGTTCATTCCAGTAACTTGGGAAGCTCTACTGTAAGCTTGAAACAAATATATTTTAGGGGCAAGTAGCCGCTTTGTTGAAAGTGCACCCATTCTTCTGGTCTCGGCAAGGGGGTCTCATCTCATCCTTAGAGCCCCTTGACCAGTCAGCGAAGCCACCGTCCTCGGCGATTCCCTCAGAAATGAGCTCGCCACGTCACATGAGGTCCAGGCCTATTGGCGGGAAAGATGGTGTCTGGTTCGTCACATGCGTGTTTCTGCGATGTGAGTGTTAGCGACGCTGTGGTCGGTTGATTTCGCACGCCACCTCTAGGTATGGGATTGGTTCCCAAAACTAAGTTGAATGTACCAAAAAATTTCTTTAATTGCGTGTTCTTGAATTGAATAACTGGGTGTACTTGCCACTAGATCATAGCTCGATACTTTTAGCTGCCGTACAACTGTCAGAGATCTAAAACACGGTTTTAGTGTTAGGAGATGGGAAACCGATTTAGTCGTATAGCCTCTAACCACCCTCGCGCTTTCCCGCTCCCCAGTACGGTAACCCCGCTATTGTGGAAGTTCCGAAACTCGAAGTCCTACGAGAGCGGGCCACTCCTCACGTTAGCACGACGAGAATATTATTCTGCGATCATTCGCTATCCACAGCCAGCTGTCGAGTGTTGATCGTACAGCGGATAGCTGCCAAAACGACCCACGTGCTGACGACAGGCGATTGTAAGCTAGAATGTACTCCGTTCGATGCGCCAAAGGATGGAGATCGAGGGAGTGCTTTCAACCGGCACCTTGGCACGCGTTCGGCACTTCGCGCGCGTGCGCTGCTTCGAGGTACGGAAATCCCGTCGCGACGCTCGATTCGATTCGCGAGAATGCTACTACGCCGAGTCTGAGTCGGTGAGCGCCTTTGCCCTTGGTGCGTTTTTTTCCGGTCACAGCATATACGTAGTAGCGTCTACGTAGCATATACCTCGTGCATTTCGTCCCCCTTTTTTTGGGATGGTCCTAGTTTTCCGGGCACACAAGCGATCCGGGAAGGTTCCGCCGATGTCATCACCACGTGCGGCGGTCGGACCAAGCGTGGCACGAGTGAGAAAAAGGCGGTGACGTAGTCTTTCGAATATCCGAATCGTGGACACAACAGCTATAGAAACGACGACTGCCCATCTACCGACTTCCGTTTACCAGCGATAAACGGAGACCCTTCGAGGAAAGAGCGGGTCGTTTGATGCTGACGATTCGTCGTCAGAATTCTAGTTACAGACACAGCGGTTCGGGCAGGCCGTCCCAGAGAAAGCGAGTCATTCGCAAATGCGGGAGCCACACTGACTGTAAAATCTGGTGGAGGAAGTCACTGGAACAGGCACGCGTGGGTGAGTGGCCCACATGACGGACATGGCAGATATGATGCGGGTTCAACGTACCCCCACTTGGTGCCCGCGGCAGGGACGATGCTCGCCGGCAGCAGCAGTTGCACGCCGTGTGGTGCGATTTATCGCTAGCGGGGAAGAAAATATATCGTGTTTATTCAGGGTGATACGCTACTCCCAGCTCTTATGCTTTAAGCGGCTTTCAGATAGGATGATATTGCTGACGGCTGGCCTCGAGAGGACGGCTAGAAGTAGCCGCTACGAGCGACTCTCTGGAAAGGGGCATGTGTCTCTTTCCCTTGCAAATACTCCTCCAACCCGCAGTAGTTTATAGGTAGCCTTTCTTGCTCCAATACTTCCCACAACAATCTCCCTTCAGATTTGCATCTCATCCTCTCATCCTGGCAAGCAGGGTTCTTGCGACATTTCAAGGGTCTAGAAGAAGCTCTAGGAGTCTTAAGTTCCAGCGACATTGTAAGGGTCACCGCAAACTAGATGGATTCATTCCCGGCGCTTACTAACCAGGCGCATCCATACGAGATTGCCTCCCTAGATTTCCTCTCCCTTCCCACTCCATCCTCTTTCCCCGAGACTATAACGGGAGGCGAGTGCGGATTGGGACTACCAGCGGCGTCGGAAGAGCTCATTCCAGAGCTTCTAGCCGCCATGGGTGCTGCAGATGATGCCCAGCCAAGTCTCACATGGGTGCGCGCGGGTCACTCCTCTCATGGTGCCACTGAGGGCAGCATATGCGACATGGGTACGCTCGGCCCATGATGATGCGTGGGGCAAGCAACGGTCCGGATTCAGACACGTGGCTGGATGATTTCGGGGCTATTGTGAGCGACGGCATAGGTTCGGGATGGGGTTCAGGCTCCACTGTGCTCTCTGTGCTGCCGTCGGAACCAGCAGCGCAGATGCAGCAGCAGCAGCAGTGGCAGCACCGGCAGCAGCAGCAGCAGCGATAGCAACGACTGCACAGCAGAACTGGTTGGAGGGACGCCAGCACCTCTGAAAGGCGGAGGAGCAGAAGAAGCCAGCGTGCCTATGTTCCCAACTTTGGAGACTCTGCCAGTCATAATCCCACCCTCTTCTCCAGGCTCTCATCAGCACCCACCAATCAGCACAGCAGTAACACCGTGTCTGCTTCATCTGCTGTCTCGGATCTGCTCTGGACCTCCACCCTTCTTGCTCTTCCTTCTACCGCCTTCCACCTTCCATCCTTCCAACCACGGCTAAACTTCTTTCCTCTACCTGCTCCACTGCTGCACCAACAAGCAGCACTCTGCGCCGTGGATCGACGCCGCTGGCTTGCGAACCCTCCAGCAAACTTACCCAGCTGCCCCTCTCACTCTCACACACTTTCCAGAATGGCTGGTCGGATGCTGATGGTTACCATGTTACCAGCCAGCCAGTGTCCGGCTTTCTCCGTTCTGGATCCAGGAAGAGAGGCAGAGGCTCGGAGCAACAGCAGCAGCAACAGCAGCAGCAGGAGCGGCAGCAGGGCGGGGAGAGCAATTACCATTGTGGCCTGGCCAAGTCTGTCGTTGAGGCGCCTCTCAGACAAGGCCTGGCAAAGAAACTTCAAGAGAAGCATTCTTTCTTGAAGCCGCAGCCACGTGCTGCCGGTCCAGACCAATCTGCTTACCAGGCCTTTGCTCTAGGTTCTGCTTCTGCTTCTGCTTCTCCTTCACCTTCATCCTCGCCTGGCGGGGCTGCCTTCACTGCTGCCTTGAATCCGGAGGAAGCCGTGCTTCGGACGTGCCTTAAAGCTGCTGCTGCTGCCTCCAGGCCCGGGAATGCTATCAGTCTGGACCAATCTGCTGACCTTGCCTTTGCCTCTGCCGTTGCCTCTGCCGTTGCTTCTGCTTCACCTTCACCCTCCCCTGGAGCTGCTCCCTCCAGGCCTTGGGATGCTGCCGGGCTGGATCAAACTGCTGACATGGCCTTTGCCTTTACCTCTCCTTCACCTTCATCCTCCCCTGGTGCTGCTGCCTCCTGGTCCTGGGACCCTGTGGTTCTGAGGCGCCTCAAATCTGCTGCCTTAAAGCCCGGGGACGCTGTGGTCCCGAGATCCTGCTGGAGCCGGCAAATGGCCCGCGAGGCGCCAAGGCAGCCATCGGTAACTCCGATGCCCGGCAATGAGTGGCTGGCCTCCCTTCACAGCTCTGAATTGGTGTTGCAAGCAGCTCAGATGAGATTGTCCCTTGGCAGTTCCACGGGGTCCAGGGCGAGCTGGGGTAGTTCTGAGTCGTCGTGGGAACTTCCACCCACCGATCGGAAGGGCAGAATCAAACCATGGCCGTCTCATCATGGCAGCATGGCAGGGCATCTGGTAAGGGTATTTGAACCTGGCAGCACAGCAGCGCCTCAGATAGGGATATCCCATCATGGCACTGCCACGGTGCAGCAGATAAGGGCATCAAGTGGCAGCACGGCAGGGCCTAGGGCTAGCTGGACACGACACATGGTGCGGGAAGCGGCAAAGAGGGCAGCTGGCAGGACCCCATTGGCTGATGCGTCCACAGGTGATCAGTGGGGCATATGTGAGGGGAGGAAGGGGGAGGGTGTGAAGAGGCGAGGGGAGCAAGGCGACAAGGGGCAAGGGATTCAATGCAATGAGAGGCACGGGCCACAAGGGACGAAAGAAGCTCACTTGGAGGAGGCTGAGTTGGCGTTGGAAGAGACAAGGTCGTTGGAAGAGGCACGGCCGCTGGAAGAGGCAGGGGGAAAAGAGCGAGTGAGAATCATCACACTGTGGAGGAGAGGAGAAGGCGCCACCGCAAAAGGTATGCAACCCACACGCTAGTAGCTCCCAGCTACCCGCAACCCAAAATTTGTCTGCTGGTTCAGAGTCGCTGGGTCACTGGGCCTGCATGCCCTGTATTACAGCCCATCCCACAGTTTGCAATCGCCGCTGCTCCTTCACCCTCTGCTGTTCGCAAATATTTTCTCCTTCAATGAGACCTCAAAACACTTGCTGATCCCTCATAAATTTTCTTTCCCTTATCCTCTCTCCCTGCAGAGACGCCCTCCTTCGCCTGCGAGCCGTTGTGCCCGAGTCGCTGTACGGCCCACATCGGGATACTGCATGCATGCTCAAAGCAGCAGTGGCACACATTCACGGACTGGAGGTGAGTTTGTTGCGTCAATGCTGGAAATCCTGAGTGCCCTGCAATTGTAACGGAGTCAGTGTACGGCCCACACATGGGCACTGCATGCTTGCTCAAAGCAGCAGTGGCACACATTCACGGACTGGATGTAAGCATTCAAAGGCACATTCCAGCTCCAGTGTCTATGCTTTCGCATTTTTGTTATTTACTTGAATCTGTTCTAGTTTCTGTTTTTTTGTCCCGGATCCATGGCGTGCTTTGGGCCCTAAAGCACACGCTTTCGTGGCAGCATAGACCAAAATTTCCTGAATCTCCCTCTCTCTTCTAAAGCAGAAATATCTCAAGTACCTCGAGCCTCAGACAGCCACACGGAGTTCGTAGTTTGTTAGGGACACAAACATTGATAGGCTCACAAATGCATCACAAGGGGAGGTCAACCGTCAGTACAGGTGATGCCCTACATTGGACCACCCGTTTGCGAGTCGCGTGGCATTGATTTGGACAGGAACAGTAGGCAAGGCGGGACCGATTGGGACTGATTCGGCCAATCATTTTGTACACATCCTCAGTACAGGCTATTGCTATTGCCTCCTTGCCCCAAATTCCAATGTTGTGTTGCTCCTAACAATTGGCAATTTTCAGAATCCAATTCCAAGCATGCAAGCACAATATCAACAAATACTTCATAACTCTGAAGAAATTTCCAGGTCCTTCAGAACCACGCTGTTACTCTTCGCACTACAGCCTAGTAGGAACCGTAATGAACGCGGCTTGATAGTTTCTCGCGAATCGCCCATTCTTGAAAGGAATTAGTAATTCCTTACTAAGGCGCACCGCTAGCGCATACACCGAACGTACACGGCACCGGGCTAGGCCCTAGTTCCGTCACCGTACGTGCCACACCGAACCTTTCCCGCGTCATTCCGAAGCGCTCCGCGTCCTAGAACGCCTTCTCCGAACCTGTGATTATGTCATTTCGAATCTCGATATTCACTTCCGCACTACTCGGTTTTTCACCCATAACACCTGGCATTCAGAGCACTTTCCTAGGCAACAGCTTTCGCCGCACATAATTTTTTTCCTGAGAGGGGGGGGGGGGGGGGGGGGGATGGCTGGAGGGCACGGAGCTGCACAGCAGTTGTCCTGCAGCTAGATATGATTAGCTGCAACGTCTACGGTAGCGTGTGCGCACCATCGCCGCTCGATCCCTGCCTTCAGATGGTCAGGATGGACCGTATCCTCCCTCCCCACGGGAGCAGACAGATTTTGCTGCCACGTGGGTTTCTGGAGTTCATCACTGTTCAACCTCGGTTGTCTTTGTTGTGGCAACTGACGTCGTCGACACGCGGCGAATACGATTTCGAGCGTGGCGACGTGGTTCACCGATTTGACGGCTAAAAAGGCGAGGAGCTCGCCACGAGGCAACGGGCTCACGAAAATCCCCAGGCGAGAAGAGTGTTTCGTTAGGACCGTGCGAAGTTGATCTTCAGCTGCAAAAAGAACTTGTAGCTGGGCGTCACGATTTTCGGCGTTTTTGGTAGGGGACACGCAGGTGAAGACGCGCTTCGGATACTGTTCAGCAACGTGGCTTTGGAGTTTCTGGCATGACGAAGGATCGCACTATAGCACACGGAGGAGTTACTGACCTTGGAATTGATTCGCGTGACCTGCCCGCCTGGAACCGTATTTCGTCTGCCCTGGAGTTTCGAGCTTGGCGAGTCTGGATTTTCGCTGAGAAAGCCATTTTCGTTGTCAGAAAATACACTCTATGATCTAGGGAGGATGAACAGGAACTACACGCAAGTCAGCTTTTAAGTGTCATCACCGGGTCACCACTTAAAGTCAACGTTGAAGAGCGGAAGCAGAGAAGGAGAACGACCGGGAACAGCTGGTTAAGAGTCAGTAGCAGACCGGATCCCCCTATTGACTGGCTGGGTCGCCCCATTTTTTAGCACCACCACCAGGTTTATCAGTTCGGGTTTAATGATACTCCAACGGTCCTGGACAAATAAGGGGGGTGAGATTGCGGATTACCCTGCGCTGGTGGATCGTTTGAAGAAAGAATGAGATTGTTGTGCGATGGGTGAACTTCAGCTTGGCGAGATTTCGACAACGACCACAACGGCTTCGTCATTTTCGGGAGGGAAAATTGTGGGCAACAACAGTAGCAGCTTTTCGGCGAAGCGTGCGCGCTACTGTTCGAAAGCAGTTTGAAGATCTTTGCGCAGTTTGGAGCAGGAAAATCAAGGGTTACTGTTGCAGTGGGAGAAGCGTGTTGCCGTCACGGAAAATTTGGAGTCGCGCGGGAGTCTTCAAGGATTATCCCTGATTTGCGGGTCTATAATCCAAGATTCGGCTACGAGGACTCATTTGTGGATTTACCTGGACGGGCGCAATGATGGGTGAACGTCGGCGCGTCGATAAACGTCGGGTCTTTTCACGGTAGGAAATCTCCAGGTTTTGGATGGAGCGGTAGCGAGGGTCCACGGGTACCTACCGAGTTGTGTGATGGTTTAAATACCAGCACGGTGTGTCGGTAAAACTGCAGAAAACGCGTTTCTCGTAGCTGAGACATGTACCCGAGATCTTTCTGGGGTTCTTGCCATAGCAGCGTGATGGGTGAACATCTGCACGGCGAACCGGTCAGGAGGGTTTGCAAAATATTCAACAACGGGTAATAACAAGAAGCAGATCAATGGCAGTTTGAGGAGAAAAATTCTGATCTACGGTGTCGATTGGAGCCAGGGTCTATGTAGTGCAGTTGCCCTGCGTATGGGGTCGCGCTGCCATT